GTGTCTCTCCTGGTGTGTGTGGGTCGTTGCGGTGGGGGCCCTGGGGGGGGTTGACAAGAGAACCCATGCACACCCATATCGAGGGATGTTGCAATCCTTGCCAAACCAAGCATTGGCCCTTCTCGCATGTTGGCAGGAAAGAAACGCCGTGGTGTCCACGTTCGTGTGCCATGGTGCTGTGCATGCAGGTCATGTTTGAGTTGGCTGGGTTCTAGGTATACATCTAATCCAGAACAGGGACAGTAGAATATCAACATAAGAACCATCGTAACATTGCATAGTATACCCTAAGACTCCTTGGGCCCTCCATGGCCGGGCCCGACACCGAAACGCAGGGGTCCGGACCCTCAAAAACCCTATGGTGTTTATCTATATATTAATTATCGAATCTTATCCATCAGTCTTTGCGATCGGATTCTGGGTGGAACATTGGGAACACCGGGCGATGGAGGACGTCGGGGGGTGGTAGACACCCCACATCCACGGGGGGACAAAGCCATCCGTATATCCGTGTTTCGGGTGTGGCGTTCGTTTTTTCTGTATCCAATTTGGTGGCGTTCGGGAGTGGTGGTTGTTTCGGATTGGAGGGATGGATCCTCCTGGCGGTCACTCAGTCACTCGGTCTCGTTTCTGCAGCCCAGGTGCGGAAGAACTCGCTGATGTGACCTGAGGTGACGTCGACTCACTCGGCGTCGAAGCAAGCAGGATCAGCAAAGACCCCCCCAGTGGACCTCAAGCACTAAGGTCTGGTGGACTCTTGATGAATCAAACCCCCCCGATTTGGATCCAAACCTCTTCACACGCTTGGTGGGGGTTGACCGGACTTCAACCAAAAAGAGCAGATTAAAGTCAGAAAGATAAGATCTCTCCGTATCACCCGCCTATCACGTCGCCAGAAGTCCATCCCAACAGACTTTGAAAAAGACACACAAAGACCAAAGACTTAGCGCAACAAGCTTCGACTGAGGAACATGTCTTGTCTGGTACATCATGCAAATGAAGCTTTCCTAATAAGGATGCATAACTCGCATCTCAGGGTGTGTCCCTTCTTACTGAGTGGATTGCGATTTATCGGTTCGAAGGTCTTTGCTTCAAGATAGCACATACTGTCTGTTGAGATGCAGGTTACACTCATTGGACTGTCTGAAGAAGGATCGACTGTCACATCGAGTTGGATTGTGTCTTTGTTTGGACGTCCCCGACGCGCCAGTTTGTCCCAGTGCCGTCTGACTTAGGTTCTAAAAAATTGCATGCGAGCGCGTGCTCATCATGCTCAGCTGAGCTTATCTTTAAAAAGTTTTTCTGGTTGGATGCAACCATGCCATGCCGAGTCCATTCATTTGGAGCTCGTCCGAAGCTTGCGCGATATAAAGTGGGTTTCTCAAAACAGGATGCGATGAAAATCTGCCTGGACGACCCCGTCCTTGAATTTGGCCTTCGACTTCCATCCGGAGACATGTGGATCCCCAACCCAACCTCAGTCCATCCTGCATCGGTCAGAAAACCTGTCCGGTGAAAAAAAAGAAAAAGGTTCCCCCTTTCCCATCGGTGACTTGCTGTGACAGATCTTCGGTGACTTGTTCAACAGGTGGTTCCGAGGCTCGATCAATGATGTCGCCCCCGTGCCATGGGGTCAACCATGGGGTCGATACCCGGTGCCCCACGGGGCCCCTGAACTTGGTGGTTTCACTTGGAGATCTATTTTTGTTCCTCCTCTCCTCATCCACCAGCGTACATAAACTAGGCCATCAAAAGAAGCGGTCCCGGTGGGATTCGGCCCTGGAGTTGGCGAGCTTTTCGGAGGTGGCCTGGTGGCCTGTGTCCATGCAGAGAAAGCAATCAAAGCCACCCCCAAGGGGCGTCACAACATATCACAACAAAGCGGGAGAGGTTCAGGGTTGAGGGGTGGAGAGAGCTGTTGCGTGCAGAGAGTTTAGCGTGTTGCATGCTCCACCCGGCTTTTTTCCAGCCAAAGGCACGGCCAATCAACAGAAAGACATGATCTGGCTGAATCTGGGACAAGCGACGAGAAGACCCAAAGAGGGCAACAACAAGCAGGGCAGATAGCGAGGGAGTTGGAACATGTCAACAACTTGGATTTGAGTCTCAAACTGGTGAAGTAAAACACAAATCCAAATGGGTGTGGTATTTTGGAACCTCTTTTCAAGAGCTGGTTGTAGACTGTGTGTGTGGGGGGGGGTTCCCCGATTTTGGGGGATTCTGAAAGACGAAGCCATCAACCCCTCGCGCCTTTATCTAGCTGGCCGAGATATTGATATGAATACAGTTAGAGTTACCGAAACCGGATGGTTTTGGTCCATTACTAAGTGTGACTAGCATCGAAACGAGTTTAGCTGTAGATAGTCTAGAATCCCATTGGCAAACTTTTGCATTATTCACCCAGTATACCCAACCCAAACAAATCAGCTCCCATCTCAGCACCACAAGCCACACCTCTTCTTCCTCTTCCCTTCCGTTGCCCCCATAAACAAAAACACCAGAAAGCCGGCCCCAACGCCACGCCGTGCTTAACGACGAAAAACGAAAACACCGCGCCGCGCCGCGAACACCGCACCGCCGGGGGGGAGGGGCGCCTCTTGGAGCCGTGAGCGAAGCCGCAAGACCGCTTCATCTTCTCCGGCGCTGTCCATACGCAGCTTCAGCATCCTCGCCACCGAACGACCGACATCGTCGGTCGATGAAGGGTTGGAGCGTGTTTTTGGGTGTCTAAAACTTCAAGGTTCACCCAGTGTTGTTTGTTTGAGCTATCTCAAAAGCAGCGCTTCCCAATACTCTGGCAGGTTGGTCGCTGTTTTACGTCTGGGATGCTTGTGACCGATACGGAACAGGTTATGATATGTCATTATAAGGCCCTACGAGTACTACAGTTGCCATCAAATGTGCTTCGGCATGTCTCTTTGCTGCGTGCCGGCCTCAGCTTTTTGCAACACCATGAGCACGGGCCCCGATTCCGCGAGTATACGATCGGCATGGCTCACGCAACCGGGTCGTCTGCATGAAACGGGTGACGAACTTGTGTGGAAATCCGGTGTGATGGCTACCGTCATAGTGGGTCTCTTTTCCCATTTCGCCCTCAGCTCACGGGGTCAATTCGGTTGCTGCAGTTGCTACACCTACACCTACCAAAAGCAGCACATTCTTGTTTTGAAATCTGCATGCAAAAAGACTGGTCACAGGACAAGTATTTGCCTCCTGAGTTCCATGTGTTCTGGTTTGCGCAGAGTTTTTGTTTTAAATCTAATGGCCTAATCCTTCATCTTCACAGCTCCCTTCCTGTTTGTCTTTATTTCAGTCAGGCCACGAGCCAGAGCTACCGGACGAGGAAAAGGGTGCTTTTTCAGTGAGCCACTGCAAATGCTTCTATTTTGATTTACTTTGCGTAGAGAATCCTGTAGGACTGTAGGGCCCCATGCACCCATTTCTTTTTGAAGTACTGCAACTGCTCGTTCGTCCAGTCCAGCAGTTTCAAGGCGAAACAGCACGGATGTTATCCCACTTCAATGATCCAACTCCGCCAGCAGTGATCCCAAACCAAGTGGTCTGGGAAGTCCTTTTCTAGATGCTCATGTTTTCTCTGCAAATGAACGGTCTGTTGATTTACCCAAGGCTGTTGATCGACCAGAAACCCAAAAGCTTTTCGAAGCCAACTTCAAGCACCTGATCCTCAAAGCCTCCCCGGTCAACCCTTCAGTGTTTGTCACATACAGCAACGTTGGAAAGCAGAATTGGTCAAGTTCCACAAGACCAGCTGTCAACCCCAATCCTTTCCTAGTAGGCTCGATTCAATGTTTTACCGGGTGAACGAGAACCTCCTTGTCAAATTCAATGCCCATAAGAAAGTCGTCGAATTGGGAGACCTGCACCCTTCTGCCTTTGGGTTTTGTTCACACGCTCACTTAGATGCCAAGCAATAACCTCGTTCATGACGAACTAGCCAATGGCACCGTCCTATTCGCGAAAGCCAACTTTGTCAGTCAGTGAGGCCTCCAAGAAGAAAGAAGTGCAACAGTGCAACATCCAACAAGTTTGGAGCAAAAAAACTACGGTACAAAAGGAGCGGAGCTTTTTGGGCTCACACCCCAGTGAACCTACATGGGAGTCATAGGATCCCTAACCCTTCACAAGTGGCAATGTTCATATGAGTTTGGGTGAGAGTCAATCAAAAGTTCGCACCTCCCAAAGAGACATCAAGCAGTCGGCACGCAAGCGATGTTTTCCAAGCGAAACAAAGAGTACATCACTGGAGAAGCAAGGTGCTCAGCCCCGACGACAGTGACAAAAAGAACAGCCTTAAAGGGCTCTCTTCAACGTCCTTGAAGACCCATAAGAGCTGGCAAAAAGAGACTTGATCTTGGATCTCCAAACATGGGATCACCCCCCAAATTCGCGGAAACAAAAATCAGTTGAAGTGCGCACGTTTGCAAGCTTCCCTGTCTCTTCGCAGCACAAGTTCGTTGATTTCACGCCACTCTTCGCCACGAAGCGATACGCTTGTCTCTGTTGTATCTTCTAGTTGGAATTCAAAACCACCAGTCTGTCGCTGTAGCCCCCGCGTGCACTTGGAGATATAGTTGCGTTTAAGACCAAGTTCATGCGCCGCACATGTCATGGAGTGATGCCAGGTCCACTTCTCATTGCTCCCATGAGGCCGGCTCCAAACAGGCTTTGCGGTGGTTCCATGCCCCAGGGTGGAGGCTGCGTAAAAATGTGCCATGTTTTCACTTTGAGAAACCCACTCGAGATTGTCTGCTGCATTGTTGCTTTTGTCAAGGTCCTTGTGGTTCACCAAGGTTTTGCTCTCAGTTTGCGGCGGCCCAAGAAAGGCAAAAGCCACAAGGCGATGAACAAACACACTCTCGCAAAGTGAGCTGATGCACACCTTTGTATTGCAGTAACCCTGTCGGGTCAAACATCCTTGGCTTATAAACCCTCTCTTCGATGTTATGCGGCCAAAGGAACTTACCATCCTTCCGGGCACTTCAGCACCTGATCTTGGATGGACCATCGGGCGCCATTCTTCTCCAGACAGCCGTAGCCCCCCCTGCATCCTGGAACCTAAACTCGTAGCACTTGTTGTGGCAACATCTCACTAATCCGGTCCACCTATTTAAAAACACGCGGCCCCCCCCCAATGAGGAAACCTCGGTCGCCTTTTTCATTAAAAAGGGGGTCCCTGAAATCGGTGTGGTCTAAAATAGGGTCACCTGGGAAGGGCTTCAAAACCAAAAAGTCACCCAGGAAAATTTTAAATAAAATCCTTTATTAAAATCGTATCAAAAATTCAACAAAACGCCAGATCGAAGGGTCTTCCTTTTCCCCTACAAAAGCCTTTATTAGAATAGTGATTCTTCATTAGACTAACAACTATATAAAGCTTTCGAAAGGTGATGTCGCTGTGCCATGCGGTTTTGCGTGACCTCGGTGGAAAGTGCGTTTGCGTGAGTCCGTGCCATTGGGGGAAGGAAAGCCTGCTGATGCAAACACGGCGTGTCATGGTGGATAGCAGGGTGGACAGAGGTGGGCAGTTACGGTTGTTTTTTGAACCTAACTAAAAAATAGAATAAAAACTCCTCCAAAAGCGGCCATGTTTGTAGTTTAGTAGCGGTTTGAAAGGGCGGCAATTTAAATACGAACATAAACCGTATTTAGGGGTTTCCGACATATTTTTTTTAAATAGGGGTCCGTGTTTTAATAGGTACTCGGGATTGTTCGGTCATTGTGAATGCCAAGTTGCTGCGCAAATGCACATGTCCAGTTTGCAGGCCCAACAGGTCTCCACAGAACAGCCTTCGACCTTGCGGGCCCATTGCTGCGCGTCAAACGGCTGGAGTATGAGTGCCGCACGTTTTCGCTTGGTGTTACATACCTCAGATTGTCCAAGCGATTGTTGGCTCGGTTGCCATCCACATGGTGTACTTGCCAGGCTTCTGAAGATTTGGGAAGCCCATGAAATGTGATCTTGACCAAGCGATGAACTCTCCACTTCTGCCGCCAAATCTCAACGATTTTGTATCCACTTGAATGCAAATAACCACTGGAAATGATTCCTCTGCTATCACAAACCCGGCCATGCGAGCTCACCTGCCAACCAGTTTTGGGACTTGGAAGCAGCTGACTGGTGAAGAACCGCACCGCATTTTTCTTCCAAAAGGACACTGCCACAAATCCTGGCCATGTCAGCATTGCAACAGGGTCCAAGGTGTCCAACTTTGAGATTCCTTGCGACGAAAAGCACAAAAAGCCCACAGCTTGAAGCAAACGTGAGGTTTGGCTCAGAGCTCTTGATAATTAATGGCACGGTTCTCGAGTCTAACCAAGGGAACGCACTATATAATTGTTCCCTGCGCACTTTTACTGAAGCTAGAATTTCAGTTGACTGCTTCAAAGCATTGCGCACTTGTGAGTTGTAACAGTTACATAAGCATATGTTTGAATCATTGGAACGTGTCAGTTGTGTCTCGCTTTCAGGAGCCAGCTGCTTCAGGCAAAAGAAGGAAGCTATATAGAAGCTGTCAAACTGAAGGTCAACTGGTGCTTGCAATTGAAGTCTTCTGGAGCGATTCCCATCATCTAACTTCTGACCTTTCGTTGACCCAACTGACATTTTGTCGGGAGCGAAACATAGATAAACCACCACTTGCACTTTGAATCACTTTGACATCTTTGAGGGAACGCTTTGGGGGGTATTGCTGGGACATGTTGGGACCTCGCACACATCTTGACCTTGCAGCTTTGAAGGATCAAGGCCCTAGATTTTCCTGCTTGACCAACTGATTCACTGCATGGTAACTAGCAAAGGTGTATATATGATTCAAGAATCCAACACGCTCAAAATCCAAGTGCGCGCCGCCACCTGTCGTTCTAGAACCCATTCAGATCGTAGTTGCAAGGCTTCCAGCGAGCAATCCAATGCAAGGGCGCATATTAATATTCCTCATCTGACACACCGCCGTACACCTGTCATCCTCAGCTATAAAGATTGCGATTTGTTCGCCAAAAACATCCTCATATCAAGCTCCAAGGTCCGCATGCGGTTCACTGTCAGTACAGGACATGCTAGGCCAAACTGCGATTTCCCATATGTTCCTAACAAGGGCAAGCGGTTGGAGCAACAAGCTCTGTCTGCCAAGCCAACGGGATGAGCGGCTCTGCCGCATGAAAAAAACTCGCCCCAAGGCAACTCAATTCTCCGCAAACACACACTGGAAAGAAAACAGCTCAAGACCATCGTCGGCGCGCCTCTCTGTCTCTTTCAAGTAACGGCAAATGTATCTCTCGCCACTCTTCGCCAGGGAGCAAGGCGTCTGCCTGATGCGCATCTCGGAACTCAAACCCGCCGGTTTGCCACTGCAGCCCGTGGGTGCATCGGGAAATGCTACGTCGGCAAAGGCCAAGTTCACTTGCGGCACTTGTCCTGGAGCGATGCCACCTCCACTCAGCGTCAGTTCCATGGGGCCGGCTCCAAACAGGCTTTGCCGTGGTCCTACCCTCACGCCCCTCACGGATGGAGGTTGCATAAAAGTGAAAGAGATTTTCAGCCGGAGAGACCCACTCCAGATTGTCCACAGCATTGTTGCCTTTGTCCAAATCTTTGTGATTCACACAGGTTTGGTGAGCCGAAGGCGGCGGCCCAAGAAAAGCAATTGCTACCAGTCGATGAACAAAGGAGTTCTGGCTTTGCACCTGCGTCGTGTAGTAACCCTTTCGAATCAGGTGCCCCCTACCTATCAACCCAGTCCGTGACGTGACGCGGCCAAGAGAACTGACTTTCCGTCCCGGCACTAAAGCTCCTGATACCGGATTGACCATTGGTCTCCATTCTTCTCCAGGCAAAGCAAAGTCGCACTGGTCTCGGAAGCTAAACTCGTAACCTCTAGCTGCAGTATTCTTGTGGCAGCATCTTGACACAGTTTCTCTGCTCATGCCCAGCTGTTGAGCTGCTGCTGTGACAGAAGGGTTTCTTATCCAGTTCGCAGACCCAACAGGTCTCCACAGCACAGTCTTCGATTGCGCAGGCCCACACGTGCACCTCGAATGGCTGGAGTATGAGTGCCGCACATTTTCGCTTGGTGTTACATACCTCAGGTTGTCCAAGCGGTTGTTGGCTCGGCTGCCATCCACATGATGCACTTGCCAGGCTTCCTCAGATATGGGAAGCCCATCAAAGGTGATCTTCACTACGCGATGAACTGGCCACTTCCGCCCGCAGATTTGAACGGCCTTGTAACCATCTGCTTGGAGAGAGCCGTTGGAAATGACTCCTCTGGTGTTGCAAAGCCTGCCAAGTGAACTCACCTGCCAACCCTGTTTGGGGTGGTGAAAAGACTCGCTGGCAAAGTGCTGCAATGCTCGTGGCCAGCAACAGCGCACACACCATGCTCTCCGCGTGCCCTGCATATAAAACCTACAATAGGTGCTAGTGTATAATGGATTGTCGCATTATGTTGAATTAAACAGCATGGAAACACCATCAAAGTTGTCTTTTCACCGCACACATTGTGACTAAACTCTTACAGTACATAAACCATGAAATCATCTACAAATTGTGGAACATGCAGGGGAAAAGAATACAGGGCAGTGGGAACCAAGGTCACAAAGTTTCCCATTGATGTCGACTGTTTTGCGGGTGCGGGTCAAGAATAAAACCCCCCAAGCATTCCAATACAATAAGGTGACGGGACTGCTAATTCTTCAAGACACCTTCCAAATGTCACATCAACATCCCCAGGCACAGACCGCAAAGGCAGTATCGCTTCGCTGGAGCTTGAACATGGGTTCTTGCGAGGCCCCAAGGGCAGGGAAGGCCCATGAGTTGGTTGGACAATTCTTTTCGAATCAGGGGACCACTATATACATGGTAGCTCGCGCAATACAGCAATCACAATACCCCATTTTCCAAACCTGCCGGCCACAAAGCAAACTAGTTCAGAACTTGGCACATCTATCATCTAACTAGTCTCACAAACACTGTGGGAAAAGGCCTGGTTTTTGGTAGACCATTCCCTGATTATTGTGTAACAGCTCGTGGAGGAAGCCCACAAGGCAAGGGATTCACAAGCCTCATCGACCCGCACCTAGAGCTTGGTGAACCCCAAGTTGCTTCACTAGAGTCTAATCCAATGTTTCTTCTGGACAAACATGTTTTATGGCTCCGCAGGCAGTGCAGGCATGCACATCATTGTTCTTACAATTGCGCGTTGACGCTGAGAGTCCTTCCCTTAAGCGAAGGCCTTTGCAATTTCAGCCTCTCGCTACCTAAGCTACCTGTGCTTAGGTCGACAAACCCGCGGAGTTCTCTGTCTCTTTGGAGCAGAAACTCATCAACCGTGCACCACTGTTCGCCAGGGAGCAAACAGTCTATCTCCGGAGTATCTGCCAACTGAAATTCAAACCCGCCAGTTTGCCACTGCAGCCCCCGGGTGCACCGGGAAATGCTACGCCTGCAAAGGCCAAGTTCACTTGCGGCACTTGTCATGGAGTGATGCCACCTCCACCTATGATCTGTACCTTGATGCCGGCTCCAAACAGGCTTTGCAGTGGTCCCATGCTCAAGGTTGGAGGCTGCCTGAAAATGAGCTCGGTTTTCTGCCGGAGAAACCCACTCCAGGTTTTCCACAGCATTGTTGCCTTTGTCCAAATCTTTGTGATTCACACAGGTTTGGTGAGCGGAAGGTGGTGGCCCAAGAAAAGCAAAAGCTACCAAGCGATGAACAAGCACGTTGCGTTTGCACGCATTCATTGTCAATCCTGTCGTGTAATATCCCATCAATGTTCTGTGCCCCCTGGATATCAATCCATCCCGTGATGCAACACGGCCAAGAGAACTGACTTTCCGTCCCGGCACTAAAGCTCCTGATACCGGATCCAGCATTGGTCTCCATTCTTCTCCAGGCAAAGCAAAATCATTCTGATCTTGGAAGCTAAACTCATAGCCTTTAGCTGCAGAGCTCTTGTGGCAGCATCTTGACACAGTTTCTTTGCTCATGCCCAGCCACTGAGCTGCTGCTGTGACAGAAGGGCTTCTTATCCAGTTCGCAGACCCAACAGGTCTCCACAGCACAGGCTTCGACTGCGCAGGCCCAGAGCTGCGCCTCAAATGGCTGGAGTATGAGTGCCGGACATTTTCGCTTTGTGTTACATACTTCAGGTTGTCCAAGCGGTTGTTGGCTCGGTTGCCATCCACATGATGCACTTGCCAGGCTTCCTGAGATGTGGGAAGTCCATGAAACGTGATCTTCACTACGCGATGAACCTTCCATTGCTGTCCAAAAATCCGAGCAGTCTTGTACCCACTCGGATGGAGACACCCAAAAGAAACAAAGCCTCTAGTGTCGCAAAGTCTTCCAAATGAACTCACACGCCAACACGTAGTGGGATGTGGAAGCGGCTGAGTGGTGAAGTATCGCAGCACAGTTGGCGAAGAGCAAATCACACCAAGTGATGCACGCCATGTTCTCAGCATTGGAACTTTGCTGAGGTGTCCCTGTGACAACTTCGTACATACAAAGCACCACATGCAACACAACACCCAAATTGAATGGTCCATTACAACCCTTCAAAGAATAAAGGGATCCTTGAACAATTGGCATGCCTGAGGCTTGACTTGCACCAAGATGCAGTACTTCCTATCAACCTGGATTTAGACATGCTCTTCTGCTCTTGAGGCTCGCAAATATTCTCCCAATTTCATCTTCACATACCGGGTCAACTTCTCTGTCTCCCTGTAACCTTGTAGAACATTGATTGCCATCCATGGTGGTGAGCAACCCTTGCACTAAAAAGAACAAGTACTTCGAGTTCCAACATGACAGGCCAGGGGGATTTCAAATCAAGCAGAAAACACTATGGCAACCATTGGTTCATTGCCTACCAGGGGAACAACAAATTTTTGTAGCTACTACAACGGAAAGCATCATTGCTTGCCGACCGGTGGAACGATTGCCCATCTGTCAGGTCTCGTTACCTTCAAGAACATTCCAGTGAACTGAGCACTTGGCATGACCAAAATTGCACGGAAGATTTCCCTAACTTGGCAACCGAGCAAATAAGGAGTCTTGACTGTTGCCGGGTGCAGGGATATCCCAAGGTGCTAATGCATGACTCCAAAATGAAATATGGGTTTGCGAATTCTGAGAAGTTGGTTCAGGAAGAATCACAAGGTTGGAATTCTCCCCATGTTCACACGGTTTTTGGTAAAAAGCAGGAGCCACAAATCCGCCCATAGACCACAATGGCTGCTACTTGAGGCATGTCCTTTTGCTTACTTGCCCTTTGGGATGAAAAAAGGTAAAATAGCTACAGTATGGCTTTTCCTCAAATGCCTCAAACAAACCAGGGAAATCCCTTCTTTCTAAGCCGCAGCCAAGGTACTCACCTCTGCAAAGCCAGTCTTGAGACCTCCTTTTCTCTCCAGCACCGCGACCGTTGTCTTTCTCTCTCGGCGTTCGCTTTGGGTCGTCCAAGCACGACCAAGCCGAGGATAAACAGTGCAGGGAACTGCGAAAACGGCCATTGCAAAAACTAAAGAGCTGGGTGCAAACAACTCAATGGGAGGTTACGTGTCAGCCGACCACAACTTGTTCATATGGTTTTATATATGTTTTATAGTGTGCAATATGTCTGGTGTTCATTGAACTGGTTTCAGTCTCAAATTCTTGTCCAAAAAGCCTCGGTTCAACTTGCGAGTGTGTTCTTGCTGAAAGGAAAATCCCCGAAAACTTGAGGGAGTGTTGGGAGAGTGTGAGCGTTGCCCGCTCACACTATCCCCATGACCTGATCCGTGCAGCTACTACGCAGTTGTAGCTCGGTCAGAAGCACCCAGCATTCCCCAGCGAACCAACTAGCTAGCACAAGAAAGAGTTGTTCTCACTCGGGCACATCATCACAGTTCCCTGGACCTTTGATGTCACACTTGGGGCAGTCTGGATCTGAGCAAGGTCGACACACGAAGCTCTGCGGTCCCTGACGCCAGGCAGCCGCACCGCGCGCCCGGTTGGAGCGGTTGGAGAGGGCTTTACAAGCGGTTGGAGTGCACCAGCTATGGGTCATGGCACTGGGGGACCCTCATGGCACTGGGGGACCCTGGTTTGTCCCACGGAAAAGGAATCGATGTTTGACTGCTTTTTCTCTTGATGTTCACCCACAGGCACATTCCGCGCGACGACAAAGTAATGTGAATCTCTCAAGAGATGATCCGTTTAATCTCTTTAGCCCTGAAGTGAAGCAAGCTGTGGGGCGCCAAACGACTCATGAGAGTGATGAGAGTACGGTCACGCATGCGAAATACTGTAGATCGAACTGAAACCGAAACCATCGGTCACTGAATCGATCGGAACCGGCTGATTTCCAAGGGGTCGACACCCCCCCCCTCCGGTCGACGCGTCGAACGCGAACGCGGTCGCCTCATCCCAGGTGGCCTGAACAGCCTGGGAGCAGCGCTGGCCCACGTGCCGTGGCGTTTTGAGACGAGGCCAAGCACCCGGAGGGGAGGGGAGGTCGACACAAGACGGGAAGGTGAGAGGCGTAATCTTCAAGACGGTGAGATGGTGACAGGAAATCAGAATACAGGAGCTATCTCGCAGTTGTATATTCAATCAGTACCTTGATCTATCTCGCAGTTGTATATTCAATCAGTACGAGTACCAGTTGAGTTCTTTTATGAGATCTTTCTCCGGGCTGCATGTTGTTGTTCATTCGCGTCCACGTGATAAGAGGGTACACCGCACCCACTCCCACAGACAGAACATGGAATCCGATGAATTAATCAGACGTGTCTCAGAAGAGAGGCACATTGGACCAGGGGTGTTCCCAGTTCCAAATGTAAGTTTAGAATGAAAACCAATCAAAAGCGAGTTCTTGGGTATATAAATCATACCCTGTCTAACAAAACACACCTTTACAAGAACGGATTTCCGGATTTACGACTCCTCATGCATCTAAGCTGCCGTCCACCCCTGCGGATCCAGCAGGCGATGGATCGAAGGGACCGGTGAACGGGTACCGGGTACGTCCCACGGTGACGGGTATCGAAGCCCGGGAAAAACACAGAATACAAGCGCCAAACCGAACGTGTGGATCCAGGAAGTGATGGCTAAATCGATCGAAGTGAGTTCCAATTCATTCTGACAAAGTTGACAAGGGATTCACTGTTATAGTACATTATGCAAGCATCAAGACGAAAAAAGTGCCCAGTCCTTTGGGCTCCTATGCTGCTTCTCACTGGCCCTCCAACAAACATGGAACTGGAACAGGTTCACTTTGATAGTGATTAGAATGGACTTTTGCATACTGTTGCAAGGTCAGAATGTTGGCTGCTTGTTTCAGGAATCTGGTCAAGATTGCGAATCCCAGCAGGGTTCAATCTTCAAGTGGGTACGGTGCGAGGGTATACAAGGTGCGGAGTGAGAATCACACTGGAAAAGGGCCGATAGAAACCCTTCGAGAAACCAATGCTTGCGAGTTGCTCGGTTTCAGCATCTGTTTGCCCCCTTCTTACACTGCATGTTTACACTACACACCTACTCCGAAATATGTAGTAAGCATCTTGCAGCCTCTAGACTGTACGAGAATCCCAGTCCGTTCTTGGCACTTTGTCACATTGCTACATGTTGGAATAGTTTCATCTTCTACCTACTGCACCACACATTCTGCACACTCCAGCAAAACCCACGCGGGCCGAAAACAACACCAACTACGAGTCCTGTAGCGCTTTCGACCACTCCCAGCGGTGAACTCTGGCCGGAACGCCCCAAGATGTCCTTTCTTAGGAACCTTTGCCACCATCTGGTGCTGCTTCAATCTCCAACAGCAAGCCCATCGAGACCACCGCCGTCCCGGGCATCCATTCGCCAGTGCTTCGCCCGGGGCCCGGGCCGGAAAGCATCCATCCTGGTCGCAGTGCGCGGGGCCCGCGGCCGTGCATTTCTGGCAGCGGTCTGCACACCTGGGAAAAGGAGTCCAGTGAGAACCTGGGGGGGTCTTCTCGGTGCGGATGAGGAGGCGAGGCGACCTGACCCTTTTGTGAGGCACTTGAAGTCAGAAACCGAGAGCGTGCCTGCCTCAATCTAAGCGGGGTGAAATGGGTGGGATGACCCTCGATCCAAGGCATGGAAGTCGGACACCTCCTGTTTTTGGGGTGGAGGAAGTATTCGCCTTCCCAGGCGCCATGCTCTTCCATGACTCTTCGTTATAGGGTCATCATGGCCATTCCCAGTGCGGAAGTGGGGATGGCGCTGGGGTGGCGCTGCTTGGGGATGACTCCAAGATATGATTCTCCCGATGGAGAGTCAAAGGAGTCAGTACTTGGACTCTCAGATGATCTGCTTAAGCTGAAGTACCTGTCCATGGTGAATCATTATCCCATTTTCTAGGCTACTTGGAACACTTATATAAGCGAAAAGGATGGACCTTGCTATTGTGTGTCAGAGACAAAAACCCACACTTAACACATGAGGTATGCAAGTTGAATGTTCGTCCAAGGCAGGACAATACTGCTGCCAAAAAAAGGACTGTCAGTTCGTAATGATCGGATAACCAAAAAGGACTGAAAGCACCCCGACGCAAACTTGCAAGAAATCTACCTTACTAGCGGCCTCTCGATCATGTTATTTAAACCAATCCGCCAGCCGAAGCGCGGTGTGTTTTGTATGTTGCTAGTGGGTACCGCGGCTTGGCTGTAGGATGCTCGCTCCCCTATGCCTCTTCCTCTTCTTCTTCCTCTTCTTCCTCTTCTTCTTCTTCTTCTTATTCTTCTTCTTCTTCAATCTGCCTCTTTGGACGGTCGGCCTTTCACGTCATTTTGACCCGGAGATGCAAATAAGACACGAATCGAACCTTTTACGCAGATCCCGAACAGCTTGTTCGACCGTAAACTCAAGCATTTGCTTTCATGTTCGTGTCATGTTCGTGTCATTTGCTGCCATTTCCATGAAATGTCCACGGCCTTCGTTCCGGTTCATTTACTGTCCTTTCATGTGCTTTCTCCACTGTCCTCTTCTCCTCCCTTTCCTCCAAAGAAAGAACGTATTAACATTGGACTCGCTGCTGTCGGACACTGAAACTGATCATATTATAAAACATTATACTACCATTACTTTACCCATCGACAGGACACCCCGTCAGATTCAAGCCTCTACCTACAAATGAATCAAGGACGAAGCCGTCGCAATCCAAAGGCACGGTTCGCACTGGTGCTCCCGCAAGACGAAGCCATCGCTACCTTGTGCGTCGTGCAATGTGCAAGGTGAGGGATTCCGGAGCGACTCAGCGACTCGTTGCTGAAAGCAGTACTGTTTGGGGAGCGGGTGAAGAGTCCTTCACTGCATCCTGTTCTGTAGACCAGTACATGTGTGTATGTATTTTAGTTTGTGTTCATATATGTATGCTATACATATATATATATATAAGTGTGTTGCCAACAGGTTGGCAAGTACTTTTTACCAGCAGTGACTTGTCATGGTGGAAGGTTGGCGGAGATGTACATGTGTGGGGATCTCCAGGGTATGTGACAAAAGATTCACAAGACCAAGGACCATGGGAAGCTTGCATTCTGGCTCTTAGTATGTCACAGTGCATCCAAGGGTATGGGACGGTGTGGGATTTATTGCATCACCGCGAGCTTGGGGTGCTACCTGCTTCGTCAGAGTCGAGTAGGAGTTGAGAGGATGAATCCGTGTGTGTAATGCCTTTTGTTGGGCCAAAAATCATGCCCGTGAACAGCATTGGAAAGCCAAGACGCTCGACTACCAGTCCAAGCTGGGAGTACTGTATCAGAGGTTGATAGACCAAGCTGACCACTTTCCGAAGGAAGCCGTCGTGAACCTACCAGTTTCAGGCCCATCCCAGTGGGACGGTGTATTTTCACAAATCCGTCTGGGAATGGTATGGAAATGTCGCAACACCCCACAACACCCCGCAGGTTGAGCGTTGATCGCATCACAAGGGCCATGCTGAACATCAATCAAAGCTAGGTTGCATCGTAGGCAGCTGCCAGCGAGCCTGCAACTGGTACATCCTGCCGAGTTTTCTGCAACTCAGCAGAGCGGTTGGAGGTTCAGGACCTGAAACTTCGGAAAGATGGTGGGACAAAACTCCGCCTCAACTGCTGACACCCCGCAGTCGAGTGACGGTCGTTCTACACCGGACCTACCGTTCGTACATTCCGCAGCTAAGCAGCGAACCGTTCGCTTGTTGGAGTGAAGCATCAGGTCGGACGTGAAGCAGACCCACTCACCAACAGCTCCCGATCCCCCAATCCACTCCCAAGGAAAACATTCGGACGTGGATGACATAGGCCCCGAAAAAAGCAGAGCATGTTGCTCAGCAAAACAGGGGAGTTGTCCACATCCATGTGTAGGTGAGTGGGAGTGAAGCAGTGGAGATCTGAATCACTTGGAAGTGAGTGACACCCCTCTGAGATCGCAGAACTGGTCCACTCACCCGAATTGAGTGAAACAATGGTTGTTTGGTGCGTTTGGATTTTGACTGGTCCAAATCCACATGTAACCTCTTGGAACTGAGAGCCATTTTCTAAAAACGGCTATATGGTCTGTGCAGTTGATCACACCCTTCCGCATTGGCCCAGCAGGGTCTCCGAAGGGCCGGGCTGAGCACCGCTTCGCGAACAAGCGAGACTGGTGGTTTGACCGCATTCGTTTCAGGGCCAAATTGGTCAAAGGTTTCAACCAATAAAAGCATCAATATACGGAACTTTAGCTCTGACGTAATTAGCAATTCTCAATCACGTCGCCCAAATCAACCACCTGATGTTGGAATACTTAACGCTTTACCACCCGCAGTGGCTTCACCCCGTACCCTTCAGACGAGGACCCCTACCTTTGATGGACAGGCTGTGTGACATGGTGTGACTAGCGTCTGCCCCACGAGTCAGGCGAGCAGGTGTGGTACTTAAATGATCTGCTCTGATTCTTCTTTTCTCCTTCAGCATTTGGAGATCTTTCGAGGCAGTTCGCCGCCAGGAGGCAAAGGGGCAGGATACCTAGGACTTCCATGACGTCTCACCATCCAACACCCATCGTGTCCGCGCTTCCCCGTTTCGCCCTCTCCTAGGCCACAGCGAAAGCAACCCCCGCTGGTCGTGACGCCGAAGTCCTGCGACGTGTTTGGCTTTCGAAGTGACGTGTGGGGGGGGAAACCGGGACCCCATGGGACCCCTGTTTTGTGGGAAGTTGATTGATACGAAGTTCCCCGCCCTGGCTACCATCCTTTTGGAGAAAAGAGGGAGCACGAAAAAATGATGGATGATGGATGACTATGGATGACTTCGAAGATCGCAGGGGGATGACTTCCAAAACGATCCCATCTGGCGACCTCTGGGTCTCCATCTGGCTACCCGGCCACCGGGCGAGGTCCCGAGACGTCCAACGAAGCCACCAGGAGCTCGAAACGAACACTGGGTTTGACTCGTCCAGATGGAAATGCGGCACAGGTGCATTCGTTTGGAGTGGACAAAAGATCGGACCATCAGGGAGTTCCTTCAACTGATTGAGGCTTGCGTTTCAAAGGCGGCCACAGTGTTGTTCAAAACGAAGACGGCCGATTCAATCCTCCGTATCTACAGTGTTCCGGGTGGTTGGAGACGGTGGTCTGCATGGATTGTGGCTTTTGGTCGATCCCTGAAATGTCCCGCAAAACTGCTGGGGCAGCCTTCCAGTTCTAACCCAACCAGGCAGCACCAGCACTGCCGTCCTCACTGCACTCGGTGCCTGAGCGTGCCAGAGCGTGCCGGCGATCGTGCGGCGAGCATGGTGAACCATGCTTGCATGGATTGCAGAGAATCGCCAAACAAACTTAAGGTGTGAGAATATGCCTGATGCCCAAAAAAGAACAATACATTGTCCATGAATTTCTATGACTTTACTCTGCCGGCACCTAGACCTAAACAGGACATCGAAGTACTTATATAACTACTTAAATGGTCACAGAGTACGATTCTTCAAAGGGTACAAGTACCAGTTGTTTGGAAACACTCGTCCGTTGGATATGACACTATACAAAACTTCGATGAAAAATGGTCGTGGGATCACTACTTCCCCCTGTCCATCGGAAAAACTTCCCCCCACCGAATCCCCTCCAACAGCGACAGGGTGGCGAAGAAGCTCAAACCCTCCACAAAGGAGGTGGGGGTATCTCGGTATCTCACCAGCTCCCTCAAACAAATCATGGCTACAAGTATGTGGATGGAAAACGGCCCCGAGTTCGGATGGCCATGAGTCTTCCGAAGACCAAACAGGTGGTGCCATCCACGTCCATGATGTGCTAACATTCGCCGTCAGCGAACAAACAATCCCCGGAAGCCTACTGGATGAAAGGGCCCCAAGATCCTGGCCACACAGCGGCCATGCTGCCAGATCTAAATGCAACTCAACCCCTCTTTGACAACGCCAAGTGGGGCTAGCAAACCCCAATCAACAGAAACCCTGAGAGTGAAGAGAATGCAACCTAGAATCATGCCACCACAATTTACACGTTTGCATTCCCAGTCAAGCTTCTTTCACCTCCAGAACCCTGGAAAGGCTTACAGTAGGAGCGTATATCTACCAGAACCCCCCTGCGATCCACCCGGGCTCTTGATATGAGCACCAGCCAGTGTGGATCCTGGCCGCTCTTGGTACATTGGTCAAGAAGATGTGTCTACACCGGTCACCAATCCATGGATTTCAAATGATTTCATGGTTTGGGAAGGACTTTGTCAGGTCACCCTACCAACCAGGGTCCTTTTTGCTTCGCATCAAATTCGCCTGGAGTTTCGATGGATTCTGTGATCAAGGCGCAGAAGTGTGCATTGTGATCGCAGCTGACGCAATGCTGCACGCGGCACGCTTCGCATTCGGGCCGAATGAGGAAGCCCCAGTGCCTCCGAACGGCAGGCGGGGGGCGGAGAAAGCCTCGGAGTGTTCGCGGCCTTTTCAGGGCCCACCTAGTCCGAAAACCTCAAACCTTCCAAAGCAGAGGTGAAAAAGGACCTCTCTACCGTCCTGAGGACTATGTGGTACCTGGAAAACCACCACAGTCCATCCAGTGCTCCGTCGTGCTTGGTGGCTCCGAGCGTGCCAAGTCCGGAGACGGAACAAGCGAAGTTCGTTCGGCTGTCCGAGCGAAAAGACGAAGTAAAAAAGATGCTTTTGGCCGCAGCCTGGGCAGTTGCTTTCACGTGCGTGTAAGATCCTATATAAGTCATGAAGCTTAAATGAGAACTTGAAAAGTGTGTCTAGGAGCAAGGAGCTACTAGGGGGTCCTGGCATCGCTACTAGGAGCAAGGACGCTACTGGGGCTCCTGGCCGTACTACTAGGAGGGAGCAAGAAGCTACTGGGGATGTCATCAAGGCCGGCTTGGGAAAACTCACCACAATGAGACTGGACCGATGAGCGGAAAGCTCCCTTCAGTCCGGTGCCTCTTCTGCCATCCAAAGCCCGGAAAGCAACCACCAAACTCGCAGTAGTCCTTGGGTTTGCTGGGGACACATCGTATACAGTCTTACAGTCGATGTGGATCAGTCGAATGATTTTGCGTCCGGGACCGGTCGATTTGACTCGAAGGTTCGACTGCACGAAGTGACGGGGAAAGGTCTTCACTTTGGATTCAACGGTCATCCCCCATTGCCAGTTCTGCTTACCAAGAACGGCCCACTTAGAGTTGTCATGTTATCCCAGCAGTTCAAGAATGATAAATACTTGGCGTTGTGGGTGAGGTGTAACATTGGATGAAACGAACAAGGCGGAGTCTTGAGCAGGGCTAATGTGGCTTTAATGCACTAATTAAGTACTTCATGGCAAGTCTTCCGTTTTACCCTTTGGCCCACCTTTGGCAATGTGCTTTGCAGTTGCCTGTGAGGCAGCAAGGCACTACATACATGAGCTTGTGTTGTTCGAGACTGCAATGGGACAAAACACCCTCAGATGCCCAGAAGGAAGGAAGGAAGTGGCCGCTTTTCTTCTTACCTCGCCTTACAACATCGGAGTGGCCGCTGTCGAATGGACTCGTGTCCAGTTTCGGACGGTTTTGCCAGCTTTTGCCTCTTTTTAAACAGCTTTTCAGGGAAGAAACTTGACCACGTGAGCTGGCATAAGTGTCCCCATGAGCTGGCATACTTGTCGTGCTGTCGGACTACTCCCAGCCAGATACTACATCCATCCATCATGCTCAGTGGTCTGATGAAATCTGATCAACATGGTCAGGTTCTAATTGAATCTTAATTATGTCTTATGTTTAATCTAATTCTATCTATATAATTCTAGTGAATTCTTGTTTCTAATAGCTTCTTGTTCCTAGTAGTACGGCCAGGAGCCCCTAGTAGCGTCTTTGCTACTACATCTCTGTCCTTCGGGGCATTGGACCCATAGCGTCCTGTTTCCTCGCTTTGGCGCACCTCGCGCCGCTGACGTCGACGTCGAGGTGCATCGGCATCACAGGTTCGGCAGTTGGGGCGACAGGCCTTCGCAAATCGGCCCGGCTTCGCGAGAAGCTTGAAATCCCCGACGATGGTCGGAGCGCGGGAAGCGGAGAAAAACTGCCCGCTGCGAAGTGTGATCAACTCTCTTCTGGGCCGCAGTGCAATCCTCTGTGGCTCTCTGGAAGAATTGGGACTGGCAAGAAATTGATAGATCCCCAAAAAACAAAGATTCACACCCATGAATGGCAAGCAATCCACCTATTACCCAAGGAAAGCATTCAGAGATGGATCTTGAAAAATATATGGATCTCTTCAAGTTTCATGAGTTCTGGAAGATAACGTCAAGGTGATCTTCATCACTTGTTTCCACCAGAAGTCATCCACAAAATCAACTTAGCCCCGTATCTTCATCCACAAAATTTGTCACACTTCACTGTCACTGCGCTTCATCATCCCTCTGTCACTGCGCTTTCACCCACAGACTCCAGGCCGAGATTCATTGTGGCACAGTGAAAAACTGAAAAAACAAATATCGTTGTGTGTTGATGTCTTGTCTCCTTGCCTTCCAGTTGGGTGTGCATGAAAATATGGAGACCTCCCAGGCAACGACCCCCTAGAAGGACAATCGACCAAAACCCATTGGACCAGGGTGTCTCCCTGTCCAAATACAAACCCATTCTTTCCCCTACAGGTTTGCCAAACTCCCAACCTGCAGGCCAAGCCTTGCACTGGCCTTTCGCCGTAAGCCTGAAGCCCTCCTGCTCGCGCGATCCGAAGCGCGAGGCCGTGTGTTTCGCCCAGCGCGAGGGCCGTGGCCTTCCACCCCGCTCCTGGCACTGCGAGCACACGTTCTTTTGGCTGCAAGAGAGACAGCCTGGTCCACACAGAGCGCAGGTCACATTCTCGCCGAAGTCCTGCCGTGCGCCGTACATCCACGCCGGACGCCGGACGGACGGCCCAAGCTCGGTCGACGCGTACGGGCCCAAGCGCCGGGTGAGGACCGGGTGGGGAGATCTGGAAGAGCGACGAAGCAGGTGAGGACCGGAAAAAATGGTAAGAAATTGGCATCAAGCCAAGACTCGAGGACCCCCATGCGGAGCGGACTGAATGTCGAGTCCATAGAACTGACTGCAAGTGGAGCAGGCTGACGGAGTGCGAGGCTCGTCAGTGATTGTTCACTGGAGCTATTGAGGCCTTGCTTGTTCAATGAGGCCGTGTGAGGCCTGGAGGAAAGGTTGGTGACTCGAGTCTGGTCTCTGTGGTTGACTGGAGCTCATAAAGCAGACTGCATGAACATCTGTTGCAATCGAAGTGCGAGGCCCGGAGAAACAGCTCCCCAACGCTTCCGGTCAAACGCGCAGGGGAAGGCCAGAACGAAGCCGCTTGCACAGGCGGTGCAGCCTGAACCTCCCTCACAGTGGAGACCTCAGAAGGCCAAAAAGCCGAGGTCTACTCCTTTGACTAATCGAAATGTTAATTAGGACCCAGTTAAAGTATGTTAAAGTAGTTAATAAATACAAATATCCCTCCCTTCCAGTGAGCACTGCCCCTCCCGCCTAGTGAACCCTTGCAAGTCTGCACCAGCCTATGACGGGATTAGGGAGGGGGACGGCATGGTGTATCGGGTCCAGCCCACAAACCTAGACTGTATCTTGTTATGAAGATGTCAATATATGGGTTGGCTTCCGGTCGCAACTCACCACCCGGTCGCCATCGCCTCACCCGGTCGCCCTCGGCGGTCGCGAATCACCGTCGCGTTGGATCGGCCGCTCCCAACGTTGGTCGGTTCGAACCGGATCGAGGGGCAGTTCTCATCCTCGCAGCGTTGGCAATGGCCATGAAGGTCCAGGCCATAGAAGGGATCGCACGTGTGGCCTTGGTTGGTGTTGGGGCGAAGGGGATCTGGAAGACTCGGAGATGTAGTGGAAATGGTTGTAATATGTTGTAATTAACTCTCAGGCACAGTAGTTCAGGTCACAACTACAGCCACTCCTACACCCTGAAATCAGCGGTTGATAGAATGTGTGATATGTGTATGAGACTGGAGGTTTTTTTTGGTGCCCAGAACATGGCCATAGCGTGGTGCCCAACCCAACTTGAAAAGAAAAGTGGACGTTCAACCCCCGAAGCCTGATGAAATGAAGTGGTGTTACAAGCCAAATGAGCGGGGGCTACCAATTAAGAGGTCTACATTGTATGGTTGAGCTCAAAGGGGTCCACAGAATGTTGGCTTTGGATCAGATTTGCGAAACTGGGTGCATGACCCAAGCAATCCAGAATCTGCGGATTCAGTGTGAGTGAAATTGAAAGGACAACATGGATTCCCTTCGATCCTGCTCTACCTGCAGATTACGCCACACACACCGATCCCGCTCGACCTGCAGCTTCGACCCTGCGGTTCGTTCTTCCGAGGCTGGGGGATCAGCGAAGCAGGTTGGTACTGCTCTGAACCCGCGGACCGTTCAGGCTCCAAAAGGTCTTCGGGTTGGTCTTCCGTCACTTTGTTCCTACCAGTTGCCTGCAAAAGAGGTCACTTGATGGCCTTTGAACATGATCAAGAAACAAAGACCTAGAAGTAGGATTGTAGGGCAAAAAAACGGCTCCTGTTTCAATGGAATTCTGGGCCAATCATATCAACCATCTTTCTCTTCCTGTAGGCAAAAAAAATACTACAACAATACTAGGAGCGCTCTCCACACGTCTTTGTGTTAAAAACCATTCAAGGAAGGACCCTGTTCTTTCCGCAAAAACCCACCACTCGCATGGCAAAAGATGTAAAAAAATAAATAAATCTCCCAAGGCGCATGGCAAGGCGCTGGGTGGGATCGCCTCGTTGCGGCCGAGATTGAGATCCACGAGGAGGGCTTCGTGGGCTTCGTGCGTGCTTTGTTGCAAGAAGCACGACCAGATGCAGCCAGGACCCGCTGTGTCCTATCCTTTTTGGTTGCCGCCCCCAAGCTACTAGTCTACTGTGCCTCCCAAAAGCCCTGAGAGCAAGCCCAAATACACCATAAGGGGCCATTGACCCAAAAACACGGGCAGCGTTCCCAAAAACACGGTCGCGCCAAAGTGGAACACTCCACTCGTGTGTCTCCGGTCGAGACAATGTTCATCTGGATCACCACCGAGTCAAATGAACGACCAGCACCCCAAGAGGTTTCTTAGGCGGTGCAGGATTTCTCAATGGAGTTGGCTGACAAGGAAGATTCCAGAGATTTCTCTGGATCCATTCGGAGTCAAACTATCCAGAATGTGTTATGTGAAGAAGCTACACGAGGCTCGGATCTGGCTCACGGCATCTCAACTGCAGGAAGAATTCCAAACAAGAAGAGAGTCGAGAAAACTTTCCCCCCTCTCTGCAGTCTCCTCCCTTTTCCAGCGCACCAAGCGTCTCCCTGTACTGGTCCATCGCAGCTCTGGCAGTTGTCGGAGCTGCATGGCACGCAGATCTGCTTGGAGGCATAGGGCACCAGACCAAACTTGGCCTCCAGACTACACACGACTACACACGACTCACCGAAAAAAACCGAAAAAAACACCGAGGTCTTGGTTTCTTCACCACTCGGAAAAAAAACACTTGCCCCTATCAAGTTGGTGATTCCCAAGACGTTTTATTTTCAGATGGATGTGGCTGTGGATCACGGCGGACCGAACTGCTTGACCGAAGGTCTTGGTCGTTCGTGGTGGACCGGTCGAGCCTTGACCGACTCCACTGCTCCCGCACTGGCTCAATTCTAAGATGTGACCTCTTGATGAGGGGTAAGGGGTGTCTTCTTTCAGAAACTGATCGCTGAATGGAGTGTTAGGAATGCCATCTGTGAACCTTGCTTTATCCACTGAAATGTTGTTTGTGCCCGGTGAATGGAAGCCTGTGGGACGGAAAAAAATTATGATTTCCACTATCACTGCTCCACCAAGAATGCAGCCGTTGCTGTGCTTCTCCCTTGGCACCACGCCCCCCACCTACCGGGCGCGCAAAATCAGGCAACCGAAATCAATTAGTTCACTCCACCTCTATGCGTCTATGGCCCTTTCACGGAGCATGATGAATGCAAGGAACTGATGTCAGGTGCAGACTGGCAAGGCCATGCGTCAGGCGTCTGCTAGTGCTCTTTCACCACACCTTTTTTCCCACGCACACACGCACCTTACTCAGTGGATTGGGGGTGAACCTGCTTGTTGGGCCAAAGTCGCCAGGTGTGGTTCATGGTCTCATGGTTTCAGACCAGCCCAGGACAATGACGATCTGCTCTTTGCCATGACAAGTAAGCATGCTCTCCTTGACTGGGTGGTGAACCTGCCTCACGTTGCGAACATGTTTATCACCTTGCGTCTATTGTCACAGCTTCCAAGCAAGGAGAGTGTACTTGGATACCTTATTCATGTCATAGCCTCCCACACCGCACCGTCTCCGTCTCCTCTCCAACCCGCGACGCACCGTGTCGTGCCAGCCTTGCATTTGGTGCACTGCGAGGTGCCATGTGGACAGCGCAAGCAACCTGCGAGAGAAACAAACGCTTTGGAGAGGCTTCTCCTCCTGCACCCGGTCGCCGGACTTCTGAGGATTCAATTTCTAGGGTGCTTTGGTTAAAACATTGTTCTAAGCGGATCTAAGCCATTCTAAACCTCATCCAAAACGTATCCAGCCACAGACCACAGGTTAAAATGGTTTACCTATCGCGAATCCCATCTGAACGGATTTATATAAATAAATTGTATGTATATAATATATATATATGGCTTCAAGAGATCTACACGTTCCGCACGCTGATTTTTAGCAACTCAGCCCGTGCCCTCTGCAATATAGAAGGCTTACCCCACTCGACACTCCCCCAAACCTACACCACCAAGGGATGGTGCCCGTATAGGGCTACGCCAGAATGCGCGGCACGCAACAGTGCCAGGTAACTTGACCATGCCATTGGTAGGACCGTCAGCCCGACATAGCGCTTCTCTGAGCCTGGAAGTCCAACATCTGATTCACGAACCGCCCGTTCCAAAACGAGGTACTCTGCCCATGCTTCTGGCAACTTAAACAAGCAGAAGGGCGCCGACAGATCTTCACATACCAACAAATCCTCCCCCGTTTCTGCAATAAGGCGTTGCGGGGTTGTGGCCTCTGTCACATCCTGTGAGCCTGCTTGAATCTGCCTCAGATCGAAAATGGCTGCCCTTATACCCAGGACCACTCCTGTGGCAAGACCTGCAAAAGACCAATGATGCATCCATGACCTGGAGATGGGAGGCCAGGCAGTATCTGGTCCAACGTGACATCCAAAGCTTTCATCGTCACTTCATTACCGGGAGTGGCTTGCAGTCCATCCAACGGCGGCTGCACACGCGGGACTCCTCTTCGCCCCTTTCGTCAACAAAGACTTCAAGAAACTTCCAGATCCTATGCAAAACCTCCTCCCACCAGGGGATCGTCCGCATGAAACCAGTTCCCACACATCAAGTTGAGACAGCACACTATGAGGCCATGCCACAAACACAGGCCTTCGTCCGCGTATCGCCTCTCATCCTCCAGTCAGCGGGACCTTCTCTGACCACCCAATCAAACCAAAGTGGGAGAGGAAACAGTTCTCCCGACGAACCTGAACCGGTGAAAAACCTGTTGGAACATCTTCATGCAAAGCCTCAACGAACTCATATGGCAACTCGTCCAAGGCTTCCTCAAAACCTGGGGGGAAGTCCGGAAGGCACCCTCCTCCTCTCCTATTTCTTTGCCGTTCTTTCTCATACTCCTTTCCATCTCTTCTGCCACAAAGTCGCCTTGATCTTCATGACTTGGCTTCCTTCCCATTCTCGATCCGGATCTCCGGGACGAGTCATGCCCATCAGCTCGCTTTGAAGTGCGATGTCCTTTAGCCTCCGAAGGAACCTGACCACCCCGGGTTGACCTTGCAAAGCAGCTACATCAGCTGGATCATCTTTCCTGCGACCTCCGCACCGGGGGCTCACAGGTCTTCCGTTTTTGCCTCAAGAGCTCACCAAAGGACTTCGCAGGCACACGCAGTTTGGGTGTTGACTTGGACACGGCTTCCCCAGTTTCCAGGGCAGCATTCCTAATATTGGCATAATCCTTCAACTTTCTCCCTGGTGCGCCTCTCATAGCTTCCTTCTTGGACACCTTCTCTGATCTCTCTAGAGGGGGCTCCAGATGCTCCTCGAACAAGCGTTTCCTGGGCAGCCCTGACAAAGGCCCTGCCCTGGCGCGGTGGATCTTTGGCGCTTGAACTTTGAACTAAGAATTGCCGACCTGAGAAACTTCTCATCCTCATCAACCTCATCCTGAGCACCTGCACCCCGGCGGGGGGCTGCAGAGCCACTAATTCGGCCGCCTTCTGAAGCAGTGCCTTACCCCAACAGATCGCCACTGGCCGGACATGGGTCAGGGATGCCAGCCAGAGAGGACATGTGACCTTCCAGGCCCCAGAACCCTTTTATCACCACGATTCAACCTGATTGAGCAAGTGGCAGGCCATCACAAAAGTGGAAACACACACATAATGGGCGTAGCCGGGATCTGAACCTCCTTCATGAACACCCTCAAGGATGCATGAGTTGCGATCTTCCCAGTTTGTCACGCGAGCCACACATTTACCTTTGGGATCGCTGGCATTGTCCTTACACTCATACCTCTCATGAAGCATCCTCCTCGCTAGCTCAGGTGACGGATGCCCATCTTTTTCCCGTGCTATACGAGATTCACCCTTTGTCCTCTCGTGGCATTCTCGTTGAGGAGCACTGTCTCCACCTGATCAGGTGCCAAGCTCAGGCTGGCACCTAGATCCATGAGCGCCTCCGCAGCGGACATGGCGCTCACCGACCTCCCCAGTCAGCACCCTGAGGTCCCTGACTGGGGGAGGGTGCCACGTTCCCACCTGAGCCGAGAACTCCACAGCGGTCTTTTTCACGCATAAACCTGCATATGCAGTACTCATATATAGATAGACATAGATAGATAGATGTGGATGACAGCCGAAACTTCACAGCCCAAGATGACCATCCTCTCACTGTCTTGGCACCTGCTAGGTCATGCCAGGTCTATGCTGTCGCTTGGCGAGCTCCCAGTGCTATCCAGCTCAGGAAACACACATAAAAAGGCACCCGGAAGCTGCCTTCAGGGCAGGGATGGCAAGTGGAGTCCTTGTCTTTCCGGAAGCCCTCCTGGAAAGGAATCACCAAGAAGCATGACAAGTGGGCGATTCTTTACGGAGCTTGGTCAACAGTGGTATGTCCTACCCCCATGCCAATACCACTGGCAGCTCATCAGAGATATGACGTGTTCAAACAACATGTGAGCTTCTCCACCGGGACAGGAACCACAAGCAATGCAGCCACAAAGATATATGGATCATGGAACCCCAGCGCTTCTCAAGGGCGTCATATGCTTTGCAGAAATCGGCATCTTCGACTCCCAAAACGAAGACATACACTCCTTCCAGCCGTTCCGGGACGCTTCCCACTCCCAGAAGAACGGCACTGCTGTCCGTTCGCAAGTGAGTTGGTCCCATAATTCCCCAAACACCACTTTTGATGCTATCCTGCTTTCTTCCAGACTAGATACTTTCACACATGGGGGTGTGTTCTTGCTACGTTCTCCGACCGAGCGTTGCGCGAGCGTTCTCCCGAACCGGTGCAGCCGCGTATGCCCCCTGCATGGGGAGCGGTGTGTGTCGGCGCCTGGCACCGGCGACATTGGCCTTGTCGATCACAGATCTCGCAGTGAGGTGGGCACCTGCAGCTGAGACCATGAAAAAATACACCAACAAAGGCGATGAGAATCTGATGGCGATCCAAAGGATTTGGGGCTCCAGACTTCGAACCTCAGGAAACCCTTAAGGACATCATTCATGTGGATTGATGTGCACTTGATCTATCTACTTGAGTTACTTGCGTCATGTCATCCTGGGCCCGCAAATGCCCCAATGCTGCTCCTCTCCTCTGAGCTTCTTATCACACACAGCCAAGAAGAGACGGGGAGAGGATGGGAGACTGGGAGGCTTTGCAAAAACGGTAAGACATGGACTGGCAAGGACGCTATTAGGTGGAGGCCATCGCAAGTAGGTTGAAGGCCATTGCTACTAGTAACAAGAAGCTACGAACGGGGCTCCTAGCATCGCTACGAACGGAGCAAGGACGCTACGATCGGGGCTCCTGGCCTTGCTACTAGTAACAAGCTACTAACGGCTAGCGTAGCAGACTTGTCCACTCGGTCTCATGGTCTCATCCACTCGAATCCGACCAGCCCAGCGCCAGGTCAGCCTCTTGCCATGCAGCACATTGGACACTGCGGGCTTTGGGCTCAAGGCACCTGGCTATCGTTGTGTTTCAGTTCGTGCGAGAAGGGAGTTCTGAAGGGTTCGTCAGAGTTCAGAAGGCTGTGGCGTGGCTAAAAATTCAGAAACGACAGTTTTGAGCCAGCTCACCACTACTCTGAGTTTGGGTTGCTTAACACATGTATTCTCAAAGTATTTTTCTTGGGATTGTGGCTACAGGGTCCCAACCAAGCCAGGACACTACTTGGGAAAAAAAAAAAAGAACAATGACTTCACCATGTCCGAGCACATCCAACACTCCCACAAACGAGCAGCTCCCTTTATTGAGGGTTTCTCAACACTCCCACCAATCCCCCAAATCTCCCCACCCGCCAGTGGACACGATGCAGGTCTGCCCGCCGTTTCGCACCCCACCCAGTGGGGAAACCTCCCACCAGCGCCGCGTTCGCACCGCGCGCGTTCGCCCCGCGCAGCGCCTGTAACTCGGTTCCGGGCGATGGCATAGATCGCCACCTCCTGGAGATGAACCAGGTTCGTTTGCGCCATGGGGCGGTGGGGCATGAACAGCCGTGGCGACCTTGGGGTCGAAAAAAGGAGACTCAGCAGATGTGGAGATGCTGGCAGATTTCTTAGAGTTGGAGTCACTGTCTTTCTCTATCTGGTCCAAGAATGCCCGCACCTTTAGCTGGAAAGGTGATAAAAGTTCTAGAAGAAAAAACCTGCAACAGACTGGAAGAAATCAAGCGACCCCTACAAATTCCCCCTTCTTCCTTTGCATCCTTTCCTTTCCGCCTCAAAAACCTCCCATGGATCGTTTCTGCCCTCCGGACGGTGCTGTTCCATTCATCCTCCCTACCTCTTCGCTGCGAACTACGGGTCCGGCAGGCTTTGGGTGATGTAGTTCGATGGTGGTAGGCGTGAGTTCGAAGGACGGTCGTGTTTGGGAGACAACGTCATTGAAATACAGGATACGATGTTCAGTAGATCACAGTAGTATATCAGTTTCACCTCTGCCAATTCACGCGGCACAAAGCCAGGGCTCTCTTTGCAGGTGGTACCCGAAACCGCTCCGGTGGGCAGATGTTCTTTCAGTTGGGGCCGCCTTTTTCAGGACGGTCAGGCCTGAAGAAGGTCGCACGTGCGGCAGAACACAGCACGGCACGTGCGGTCCGGCACCATTGTTCGAAGAAGAACGGCATCACGTGGCTTGGAGCTCTTCAACAACCACTGGAAGAACCGAGTGGCTTCCCCGTAAAAACCTCAGAAATCACCCCCCATGAGGATCTCTTACCCCTCACTCCTTCAGCTCACCGACACCCCGCCCGATCGCACCTCAAACCAGGGGAACGGATGGACTTGGATCTCTGCCACATAGGCGAAGGTGCGGTGGTACAGCCTAAGACGACGGACAACCAGCGTCTTCACGGGGGGAGGGCCCAAACACATCGGGCAGGCTGCAGAGTCGGTCACCAGAGTCGGTCACTTGGGCCTCTTCAACACGCGGGCGATCTCTTCAATTCGCCCGGTCGCGAGAGAACCCTTCGCCGCAAAGTACAGCACCCCGAAGGGTGGGCGCTCACTCGCCTATTCATCGACTTCGTGCCGCCATTGCGGCAGTTTTGCAGTCTTCCAGTGGACGGTGTCCAAAGCTAGAACCATACTGAATTGTTCACAAAGCCCTCGCTTCTGAGCCGCTGGTAGTGGCTTTGCGGCACACCTTCCATCTTCCGTCCTCTGGGCGCTCCGTTGGCATCTGGCCCCGGTCAAACAAACCCTACCAAGACTCATCAAGCATAACACGTGTTCCTGGGATCTTTCTAAGTTGCGTCATTTTCTTTCGTGCACCCCCAAAAACTTCTACAAGGAGTCTTGCTTTAACTCCACTCACACATTCGAGTAAAGTGACAAGAAATCAGAAAACAAGCACCTGACACTTGGAGAAGTCCCTGTCCCTCTCGCCCTCGCGTGGCATTTATCGAAATATCCACTGTCAGGCCACCCGATGCCCAGGGTCTCATCGTTGAGCTTCCCGAGCACGGTGTCGATGTCTTGGGCCTCCGGAGATGGCCACCAGAAACCCACCAGATGAGAAGGCCAAGAACCCACCAGCTGAGGTCATGAACCACCAAGATTAAGACGGAGAAGAAAGAAAACCATGTTCTTTGTGAGGACTACGTAGTGACGTAGTGGTGTGATAAAGATGCTGAAGAAAACGAGAAGGAGTCAGAAGGAGGGAGAAACCGAGGGACAGGGACACCAACATCTTGGTCGCAAAGAAAGACTATTCGAACATTGTGGAACCAAACAAGTTTCACATGACATGTCAAAGACTCATCCTCACCTTCCCAACTTCCACGAAAATTCAGGCAACATGGAAAGGCATAAAACAACCCAGGAGTTTTGCTGAACAAACAGGGTTCACAGGGTCAGCTACCGTTGGAGATGTTAAGAGAAAAAGGCTGCCAAGCAACCTTTTGTTGCATCATCCCAAAAAGAACCCACTTCATCAGTCGCACGTGCGCGTTGGGATGCCCTTTCCTCGTAGCCATGACGACTCATCCAGGGCCACAACTCCAAGGGCTTCGCTTCCACATGTCCTGCCCGAGTGAGCCAGTTCTTGCACTGAGACAGGAACCCGTCGACGCAGACCCAATGAAAAAATCAATGAAATTCACCAACTCAGGGACACTTTCCTTTGAATCCTTCAATTCGCGATTCGCGGATTTGCCCAAGCCGGACTTTTCCCCATCCTGCGAGCAAGGCCTTGGAGCCATCACTGGTACCTTGACATCAAACAGATCGGAGCTCCAAAGCAAAAACCGCATAAAAATCGCGACAACGGATGAGGGATGGGGAGGCGCCCTTCAGCGTGGTTCTCAGAAACAAATGATGCAAAACACCGGCGCAACACAAAATAGATCCACAACGAATTATATATACACTATATGCGCAAATGTGCGACACGCTGGCAGACAAGCATTCAAGTTCAATTTGTACAAAGGTTAGCCTTCGCAAATTGAAGACTAACCATACAAGGAAGAACCCCACAAGCGTGTCTGTGCAATAGAGACAGGAGCATCCAAACAAACTGTCCAGCCGCGCCACGCCCCTCTCGAATCTGAAGGCTCGTTGGCATTGCCTTGTGGCTGGGAGAAGCAACCCAATACCTCAGCCACAACATCGGACGAATCCCGGCACCCCGCACATACACGCAAACCAGTTACAAGTTATAAGCGAGTCTATGGAGTCTATGGTTCTGCTGATCGAGTTCGATCTCCCAATGCGGGCTGCATTTCCTGCCAAATGGAAAATCAGATCTACGTCTACACCGGGACTCTCTCCAACATACCCCGGCAGCAACTGTTGGTGATGTTTGAAGGACAATGCAAAGGCATGGACTTCAAGTGTTTCAAACCCTGAAGGTATGTCTGGGACATTCATTGGGACTTGCGGGCTCACGGAAGTGCAAGATGGCAACTATACACGAGCCAGAACGCAATTATGAAAGCACACAATATAATCCACGTACTGTGCTGGTGATGGTGATTTGTGATGATGGTGGTGATGATGGTGGTGGTGAAGGTGGTGATGGTGCTGAAGGTGGTGATGGTGGTGATGATGGTGGCGGTGATGATGGTGGTGGTGATGATGTAGATACGAAATCTACACTTCAAGGTCCACAAACTGCCACAAAATCTACACGTCAAGGTCCACAAAGTATTGCATCTGCCACGAAATCTGCACCTCAAAATCCACCCAGTATTGCGCCTGCCACGAAATCGGCACTCCAGGGTCCACAAAATACTGCGCCTCCTGCGAAGTCCACACGAAAAGGTCCACAAACTGCTGCGCCTGCCACGATGCTTCAAGGTTCACAAAGTGTTGCTCCTGCCACAAAATCTGCACTTTCAGGTCCAAAGTACTGCGCCTGCCACGAAGTCTGCACATCAAGATTCCCGTCGCAAACGCAGCACTTAAACGAGCCGCATGTCCAAAAGTCGCGACTCACCGCACCTGCCACAAAATCAGAGCAAGCCCAGACCAACACCATGTCCAAAGTACTGTGCCTGCCCGATCTCCTGCACCTGTCACAAAAAGTCGACTTTAGACCACCAAAGCACGAGGTTTCGCTTGCACCTGCCACGAAAAGAGCCCGAGCCACAACGAGAGCGCAGTCTCGAAGAGCACCCTCCCCAGCCCACCAGATTCTGCGAGCCTGCGCAGTCGAAATGCTCTTCGATATCTCGAGGTGGATGAATGTACTGTAAACAGCAGCGACTTTGCCACCGGCGGATGCGAGCGCCTCCGATTAGACAACCGTCCTTAACTATTGCGGTAAGAACCCCTAGTGTGGGACACACTGTTTGGTGAAAAAACAATTATATATAATAGGTGCTTACTTAATAGGCGTTTAGGATTCCTGCTCCGTCAACCTTGCCTTTGGTGTCAACTTGAAGTATCTTTTCCAACAGCCCCATCTTTGCTTGCTCCCCTTCCCTCACTGAGCTCCAGACACCAACGGCCGATTGGGCCAATCTTCGGGCGCTTCTGGAGAGAGGCACGGCACACCTGGAGAGTCGCAGACCACGGCACACCCGTGCTGCGGAGGTTGGCACGGCCCGACGGCGGCGCAGCATGGAGTGAGTCAAGGCTGTTCCTTGTTGGTTGGTCAGGTTGGTCAGGATGAGAAATTAACTATAACTATAAACTTCCGAAGAATCCACAGAGTGCCCTGTTTCCGCAAGCGAAGCGAACAGCTGATGTCATGACATGGTGCAAGGGATCTTTCTGTCGAGCACATGTTTTAGTTTTACAGGCCGCTCAAACAAGACATCATCTGCCCTGAAACCCTACACTCCCCTTAGTTCGACACACATGAAGGGCTGCCCGACACGCCCTGTATTTCGTAGGGACCTCGTGACTTCGTCCTTCGCCGGCGCGTTTTCCCACCCGGATCAATGAGTCGCATCTGACATCATCGGCTTAGTGAGTCGCATTGGTGTTGTTTCGTCACCAACGAGTTCTTCAGATCATCAACAGGACCCATTCCACAACCACTGCCTTGTTGGAGGGATGACCCACTGCCTTGTCGTCATGTCCTGGGCGTTTTTGGCTCTTCTAGCTGGAGTGGAAATGGGAGCCTCGTTTTTCACCCGTCACCTGTCGGCCCGTCAGTGTCTATCCCAGTGAACTCCAAGCCACTCACACTCACAGTGTCGGCATAGCTGTTGTTGATGCTAGCCACGGATGGGCAACAGCCCGCAGGAAGAGACAATGAGGAGAACATGACCTGACAGTAATAGCTTGTGCTTTGATGCTTTGGCATGTGCTGGCTGACTGAATGCAAAGAAAACACCTCAAAACCCACTGGTTTCTCCACAACCAAACAACTGTACAACCCCATGTGCGAAGTTGAATACCATGCTAGAAAGCTCAGTGCTGCTAATGGGTCCACCACCAGAACTGGTGGTAGATGTACCCCTCTTCCCAGCCAAGTACATCTGCCCTACCCTAGACCATGGCGGATCAAAAGTAGACCCTGGTAGTACCTGTTGTTCACCCCCAGGTCAAAATAACAGATTCCTCATGGATTCCTCCAAAAAAAACCGGGAGGTCAACCAAACCCATCGCTGGGATGCCTTTTGGGTGCCTGGGTTGGGCCCGAGATCCGGTCCATCCCGGGGAGGTCGACAGCGCCATGCGAAGTCGAAACGAAAAGGATGGTGAGGTCGCCCCACGAGGATGGCTTCAACTTCAACCTTTTCATACCAGACTTCGGCCACCAAAGGTGGCCTGGCGGATTTCAGAGTTCCCAGTTCAGAAATTCGCAACAACAAAGGAGTTCCAGCATGTGACCTTCCAGTTATTTGTTTGTTTTAGGCGAGAAGGGATTGTGATGCAAAATCTGCTTCCGACCGAACAGTGGCGAGAAGCCTGGTTTGCCGAGACACAGCGGTTCCAGGGTTTCCGGACGTTCCAAACAGTCTGTCTGTTTAAAAAGAAAAGGCTGTGAAGACTTTTCCAATTTGGTTCAGGAGGGTGCAATCGTCTCCCCGGATTTTGTTCCACAGACAATAGCTTGAGCATCAAGAAACAATGAACCATGAACATAAGTGAACCACATAACTGAAAATGACTGAGCTCCAAATCGTCATCTTTTTCCTACAGTATGGCTACTCATTGGTTGATTGTCCATGAAACATGACCTCGTGCCAAACACCGGACCACGGGAAAAATGGGCATCAACGCCGACTGTTACAAAGCACGAAGCCACACCAAAAAAGGATGCAATCCACCATCATTCACCATATCACATCATCTTTTGTATGGTGAAGAGTGGCTCTTCAGGGCTTTCACACTCATCCACCCATCACCATCGACAACTCAAACCCTAACAGTCGTGGAACCGATTCCACACCTTCCAAGCCTGAAGGACGCTACTAGTAGCTATTTGCCACTAGCAGCGTCCTCGCCTCCCCCTAGTAGCGTCCTTGCTACAAGTAGTAGCGTCTAAGACCTCCCACGGTGGGCGTCGAAGGCACCACCGGCTTCTCATTGGAAACGGGGCCATAGCGCAGCAGTGTGATGGGCAGCACGTTGAAGACCTGCCAAACAAACACACCGGGCATCAAAGGAGGGAGACAACATCTTCTTCCTCCGAACAGGTTCCAGTCCCCGAAAATTCCAACCATCCATGAATTTGATGAGGCTCTGTACCAAACAACTCTAAAATTCCAGGTCTAAACCCTCTTTTTTGTTTTTTCGGTCTTGCGAGGTGGCTACAGGGAGTCCATTTTGTCCATCCATCCCGACTGTTGGGACGATGTGGGAAGAAGCTTGCCAACGACGATCTTTTCGGATGCAAAGAAGAAGAATTGGTCCGTTTCTCTAATTTGCAGTAACAAGGGCATCGCTACTAGTAACAAGAAGCTGCTAGTAGCTCCTGGCATTTCTACTAGGAACAAGGAGCTATTAGGTTGGAGGCCATTACTACTACACATGCCCGCCACAGACCATGTTGTCTTTTTGGCGCCGTCGCCCACCCTGCAGAGGATGCTGACAGAGGCAGCCAAGACCAATGGCACCCAAAGCACCGCCAGCCGTTGTGCGAAATCCAACCTCCCGGCGGGCACAGCGAGGGAGATGGAGACTCCCCCAACAAAGAGGAGATCAGCGGATCTGAGTGGTCCTGAGCAATGGTATGTAGCTAAGCCTGGAGAAAAGAAAACAATAACCAAAGAACCTAAGAACTCATGCAGTCATGGGTACTGGCAGGCAAAAGGAGGCTTGCCATCTTGCAGTAGTGAACCCAAATGGGCGGCACCCCAGTCAATGACTGCGCTGTTGGTCACACCCCAGTCAACCAGAATAGACTACTCTATTGAAGTTGAGGTCTACACCTAGATGTTGATTAGTCAAAGCCTTGTAACTCCTCCCCTTCCCTAAAAATTGATTTGGCAGGTGGTTTAGCAGCCATAGCCCACCACACCCAATGACCAACCTCACGAACGCTCCAAGTCCCAGTCCCAGTCCCAGTCACTCCATGGTGGGCATGGTGGTCCTGACGATCTTGGAGAGTTGGGCCACCATGCCCACCATGCCGTCCAAAACGATCGTCGCTCACTGCCCTTCTCGAAGGGCATTCTGCCCGTCTGTGACCGGTCCCGAAACGAGCGTCTCCACCGCTGTCCAGCTCATCCGCTCATCCGATCCATCCCCGTCCAACCGAGAAAACACCCCACCTCTGGCTGCGGGTCCTTGAGGTGGGCGTCTCTGGATGTGAAATCTCCACCTGAAAGCGACGGCGACAGACCAAGGACTGACCGACCGGAGACTCCCTGAGTCTTCCTCAGCCCGGCGGGTCTTAGATGGCACCACCTGGCCATGGTCTTTGGACTTCGTCAACCAACGGACCATGCCATCCACCTTGGCCAATGAAAGACTCAGAATAAGGGGCCATTTTCTGGGGCCGGCCACTCTAAACCCTAAAGCCCTGGTGTTCTGTGGTGCCAGCCTCCGGCGACGAACCTCCACCGATCTCGTCCGAGCTCGTCGCAGCTCAAAATGGTCCGATGATCCAGAAGGTAATTCTTTCGATCTGCCTTTTATCAATGGTGATCAGAATCATAATTGAAGCATTGAGAGTAAAACCAGGTTAACCCACGATCAAACTGACGGCTTGAGTCCAGGGCTTTCTACTCCAGTGGGACTTCCACCACATCCAGCTACCAATCTCCCAGGCGTAAGACCAACTGCATCAGCCGACTGGCGCACACCAGCCACTTGCACACGCAACCGCCGACCTGACGCGTTCGCCGCAGACCTGGCCGAGGTCCCACCCCTCCCACCTTCCAAATGGTGTGCCGCTCCATGGTGCGGACGTACATGATGAACTTCACCAACCTGATTGTGACGAGATATCGTGCGTCGCCCGGGCGCGCGCTTCTTCTCCACTCATTCTCCCTCCCCCAAGAGTACCGAAACGGACCCAAAAAACGTCGGAAGAAAGAACCAAAGTGAGGGAAAAAAAACTTAAAAGCACCATCAAACCCCCCCGTCGAATTCCGGTGGTGCGAATCGAATTCCGGTGAAACCCGGAGACTCCGGAACGCTCCTCGATGGGTGAAACGAGATGCGCTCCATGTGAAACGAAGCACCGCTTTTTCGCGGTGCTTCGAAACCTGAGGAAGATCCTTGCGAACTGTTAGCCAGGAAATCTGTCTGAACAAAAGTGGTGAGTTGAGAGTTTGGTGGACATAGAAGTACTTAGAAGTGGTTCTCTTGTCACCCCACTTCACAGGAGCTTACATCCCAGAATTCTCTCTGGATCTGTGGGATAGTGTGGGTCTTGTTTCTTGTTTATCTTGTTCTTTCATCTACTCCCACCTCTGGCCCCAAAATGGGAGGAACCCGGCGAAAACCCTGCCCAACCGACCCTGCCGCAACATCGGACCTTCCGGTGGGTGCCCCCGAACCCGGCCAGATCCACAAAGGACATCCCTAGGCTCCCTGACCCATCGATTGAATAGCCTCTCTCTATATATATATATATATATACTCTTCCCGAACGATAACCACCAGCCGTTCTACGGATTTCGCACGACCAGACAGTTGAAGGCGACCAGTTGATCAGTTTTTCAGGTCGTGCGACCGAATCGAACGAACGCTTCGGAATCCACGTCCACGTCGTCGCACCGGAATCTTCGCACCGGAAACACCGTCCTCGCCCTCGCCCCGTCCAACGAAGCCATCCATGGGCTCTTCCGATTCAGGCTTCTGGACCCCGTATGGCCAGAAGACCACCGGAACACTGAATCATGGTGCAACATCTCGCAAGAAAATAGAATCTAAAACTTGGGTTTGGATTGACAATGCCCCAAATCAACCTCCCAAAGTGGCGCGAACCTCTTGACAATAAAAGACCATGGGCCCATATTCACACAACCGAACTCCATGCTACTCGCACACACAAAAGCGCGCGCGTTCCAACGGATCGCATGAATGAACAACTGTGTGACATGTTGTCGAAGCTCAAGGTCATGAAAACGTAGTAGGTCATCCACAATGGTTCGATGGGATTTTGTCGCCCCAGGATCACTTGTCCAGAGGTCACCATCACCATCAAGGCCTGAATATACCTCGCCCGTTCGGTGGGGGAAGGCGACCACGACCACATGCGAACGAGAGCAGCTAAAGCACTCCCGGATCAGCTGGCCACTGTTTGGTTTCAGGTTTCGATCTGCCATTTGAGCAACCAACAAATACCCTTCAAGGACACCCCGATCAGCTGGTAGAAGAGAAAGACCACCCCCCTCCAACAAACATCGAAGTGAGCAATCCCAGATTTCATGGTCTTTTTGAGGGGACATGCCATCCAGTTCCTCAGGAGAGCACTGTTTACATCTCTACACGTTGGGTACATCCCATCACCAGGGCTCAGTGGATGATGAGGATGAGGATGAGGATGAGGATGAGGATGAGGATGAGGATGGGGATGGGGATGAGGATGAGGATGAGGATGAGGATGAGGATGAGGATGAGGATG